TTTTTTTTTTTTTTTTTTTTTTTTTTTTTGGCGTGTGTGTCCCCTTCCGTCTTTCTCCTTCTACTCCAACACCTTAAGAATTCAATGACTTCCTGCTCCTGCCCGCCTGATCAGGCGCTTGACCTCCCCCTAGTGTTCCTTCTCTACTTGCCTCTCCGCATTCACGGCATGAACCCCGCCTACTCCTTGCGATAGCGGCCGTCCACAAATCCTGTCCCGCTTGCAACATAGCACCCCCACAAAAATATGGAGTCGCAGCCCTAAACGAGTGGGCGGATGGATGTATGGATGGAAGAGGGATGGAGGGAGGCAGGGAGATGAGGGGAGAGGAAGGGAGAGAGAGAAGGAGAGCGGGAGAGAGACATAGAGAGAGAGGGAGAGGGTGCACTTCGCCACGCTGGGTGAACCCACCTATTTCACTTTTGGCCCGAGTGCCAGCTGAACGCTTCACCTCTTCACGCACAACAAAAGAGGGACGGAGTAGGGACAGAGGGGGACAAAGAGGGTGGACTTCGTTACGCCGCGCGAACTCACCTATTTCCGCCGCTTTGGGACGAGTGTGAATGCAACCGCGCACACCTTCAGGCACAACACCGCCGGCAGACAGAAACAAACAGACACAGATAGACGCACACACACACAGAAAGAGAGAGAGAGAGAGAGAGAGAAAAAAAACAACGAGGACCCACCGCGACGACTGTTTGAACGCATCCAGACGGCGCCTTCGACGGCGCGATCAAACACAGCATGCGCCCAGTGCCACTTGGGAGGGTTTAGTTCTGGGGCTAGGTCCCACTTGCACGAATTAAGAGATACTGACCGTACATAGCGAAGATCAACGGCCGAAAACTCCTATTTTGCGCAAGTGGGACCTTGCCCCCGGTCTCGAGCATCCACGGGTCCCTGCGATCCGATCTACAAATCTCACGGTCACAGCGTGACCGCATTCAAAACATGTATATGGTCACGAACGGAAAAAAGGGGGTCGAGCATCCACGGGTCCCTGCGATCCGATCTGAAAATCT